GGGTCAGGTCGTCATAAATAAGTCAAGCCAACTGGATGGCAGTTAATAACATGTGGATAAATAACCCAAGTAACATCTGTGGGTGGGCTGGGGATGATAACAGCAGATGCCGCTTTCAGGACCTAAGCAACCCTCTGTGGTTTGGTCTCTTAGAAGGGCAGAGTCCCACAGACAGTTCAAGCAAACCAGAAGGTGAGCAATATTCTGAAAATAAATTGTTGTTTCCAGGGGACCTTGTATAGCTGTCCTTGTAGTGTTGGTTACACTTGAGAGCTTCAAGCCAGCTGCTCCTCATGTGAAAGATGGCATGGAAAAACAAACAGATGCCATGCAAAGCGGCCACTCAACCCTGAACATGCTTCCATTCAATGTGTGCCTTTTTCTTTGCAAAGTAAACTGTCACCTGTCGAAACAGAGTGGAAAATTGCTGTTTTATTCCACCTCCCCTTTCACTTAGAACAATCAGATACGATACAAGAGCAATAATAATCAAATTAATACATACAACTTCAGGACAGAATCTTGTCTTTCAGACCCTTAGTTTTAGACTGCAGGGAAAAAAGTTTATATGTTAATAATTTGATTATTATTGCTTTTGTGGGCTAAATCATACAGCTGCTATGCAATTTGCAATAGGTTGACCAATTGAACCCAAAGGGTGCTCAGCAGTGGCTGCTCTTCATTCTGGAGAGAAGTGACCAGAGGGGTGTCCAGTGGGGTTGTGTCCTGGGCCCAGTTTGCTATTCAACATCTTTATCAATGACTTGGGTGAAAGAATAGGGGGCATGCTTCTCAAATTTGCAGATGACACCAAATTAGGAAGAACAGCTAATACCCCAGAGGACAGGATCAAAATTCAAAATGACCTGAATAGATTAGAAAGCTGGGCCAAAGCTAACAAAATGAATTTCAACACAGAGAAATGTAAGGTACTGCACATAGGGCAAAAAAATGAAATGCATAGATATAAGATGGGGGACACCTGGCTGAATGAGACTTATACGTGTGAAAGGGATCTAGGAGTCCTAGTAGATCACAAGTTGAGCATGAGTCAACAGTGTGATGCGGCAGCTAAAAAGGCCAATGTGATCCTAGGATACAGAGCAATGGATGCAGACTACAGGAAAAGAGATTCCACCTTCTGAGGAGCCCTCTGAGGAGCAACTTAGGGATCTGGGTATGTTTAGCCTGGAGAAGGGATGGTTAAGAGGTGGCATGATATCCCTGTTTAAATATTTTAAAGGTTATTATATTGTGAACGGAGCAAGCTTGTTTTCTGCTGCTCCAGAGAATAGGAGATGGAGCAATGGATTCAAACTACAGGAAAAGAGATTCCACCTACACATTAGGAGGAACCTCCTGAGAGTAAAAGACAGTGGAAGATACTCCCTTGGAGGTTGGTGGAGTCTCCTTCTTTGGAGGCTGTTTTTAAACAGAGCCTGGATGGTCATCTGTCACAGGGGATGCTTTGATTGGGAGTTCCTGCATGCCAAAATGGGGTTGAACTGAGTGGTCCCTGTGGTCTTTTCCAACTCTTATGATCCTATGAAAATCATCTAGTTAAAATAGTATAAAATTACTGTATATACTCAACTATCAGTCGACTTCATGTATAAGTCGATAGCAGGTTTTGGGTCCAAAATTATGGCTTTTTATATGACCCACAGATAAGTCAGGGGTAAAATTTAGCATATAGCAAAGGATCTAAATGATGAAGCAAAAACAAAACAATGCTAAAGAATTTACAAAATTGCCACAGGCGTAACTGTTTGTGCTCATGTTAAAGGCTGGATGGATGAGAGAGGAGAGAAGGTTGGTGCTTCCAGAACAGATTACTGTATATTCTTGCTTTTCACCAGGAGATTGTTCCTTCTTTTAAATAAGAGTTAAGGCACAATACTACATTGACCCATGGATAAGTCAACTCAGGTTTTTTGGGGTAAATTGTTTGACTAAAATTTCTAAACTTATACATGAATATATACACTAATACAAAAACATACAAAAGTTAAAAACATAACTAAAACACACACCCCACATAAAAAAAAACACCACCCTGTCCTGATTATATATTTTAAAAGCTTGCTTAAATAAAGATGTTTTTGCTTGCAGGCAGGGAGGGGGACAGCCTAGCTTCCAGTGGAAGGGAGTTCCAGAGGATGGGAGCAGCCACCGAGAAGGCTCTGTCTCTCAAGTCCTCACCAAGCGAGCCTGGGATGGTGGTGGAACCAAGAGAAAGTCTTTCCCATAAGATCTTAGGGCTCTGGCAGGTTTGTATGGGGAGACGTGGTCTTTTGAATAGTCCTTTCTGCTGCTGCAGAGACTAGAATATGACCCAATGGATTCAAATTACAAGAAAAGAGATTCCACCTAAGCATTAGAAATAACTTTTTCCGCGTGTCCGACAATGGAGCAGGCTGCCTCAAAGGCTGGTGGACTCTCCACCTTTGGAGGTCTTTAAGCAGAGTTTGGATGAGCATCTTTCAAGAGTGCTTTAGTTGTGCATTCCTGCATGGCGGGGGGGGGTTGGACTACATGACCCTTGTGGTCCCTTCCAACTCTGTGATTCTAATCTCTGCAATGAATGTTTGCCCTCTCTCTGCCATGGCACTGATGGGCAATAGCTTCATGAAGCTGTTTACTAAGGACTTATCATGGAGGTTCCACTGGCTGGGCTTTTATTTTATTTAATCATCAGTACCCTTTACATTTATCTTCTCAAAGTAAACAAGACCCATCTGGTCTTTATATGTTTTATGCAAGCAGCTGTGAGGCACTCTGCAATGAATAAACACACAGGCCCACAGGTTCTTGCCCCGTGATTTCCCTCTCCCTTATCAGTCCAGCAGAATATAGGGCCTGCAGTCATATTAATATTATTAGGCTCCTGGATTCCTGCCACATTCACCCAGCAAAAGATTATTTTTCACCACCAGATGTGGGGACAGTGGTACGGATGGCGTGATGGGGCATGTGTGCGTGTTGTCTAAAACAGGTACCCCATCTTGAAAAACGGTCATCTTTCCCAATTTGGCTCGGCCCAATTAGGCAACCACTTGCATGCGCAGGCGATTCTGCTGAGATCTTGCATGTGGGTTGAAACATGTCAATGCCAATTCTTAATCATTATTGCTAATGTGTAGAATTAAGAAGCCTCACCTGGAAAAATCCTGTGTCCAGTTCTGGGCACCACAATTCAGAAAGGATGCTGACAAATTGGAGCGTGTCCAGAGGT